TGGACCCACATATCTTCTTGGGGAATGAGCTTATTCTAGCTGTGAAATGTTAGGGCGTAAAGCAAGAGGGAGAGGTTCAGGGAGAAAGGGCAGGTGAAGTGAAGGAAATGGAGCCAGACTGTAAAATCTTGGGGCTGCCCCTAAATCTTTCCACCCTTGGCCTTGGCTCCAGGAGCCTGTGGTGAGGTCCGCTGGTGGTTATAGGCAAAAGCAACATGGCATGGTGCCGGAAGAGATGAAGCTGAGTGGCCAAATCTGTTTTGGAAGACCCCTTGGGAAGCAGTGGAGGTGACAGTGAGGACATGCTGCTGGGCCTGGGGCAGCGTTTACTGGTGGGTGCACTGTGGGCAGATGGGTCACCAGGAGACCAGCACAGGTCACAGAGTTTGAGTCACTCTGCTTGGGGTGGCTTGGTCCTCAAAAGTGAATGCGCTCAGGGTCCTAGTGGCCCAGGTTCTGGGTGACTCCCCTTTACACAGAGCCCAGGGGCCTAGGCCTCTGGACGTGGGGTGGGGAGAGAGCCAGGGAGGGAGGGAGAGTGGCCTTACCCACCTAATTGCCTCTCAGGAGACTAGGTAGAGAGAGAGGTTGACTCTGGCTGACCCACGCTGCCCCCTGGGGCAGACTATGTAACAAGAGGGAAGGTGACAACTGTGTGTGCATGAATGTGTGTGGCTGTGTGTGTGTGTGCATGTCTGTGTGTATGGGTGTGCGTGAATGTGCTCTTGTTTGTGTGCACGTGGGTACGCATCTGAATGTGTGTGCGTTGGGTGGAACTCGGGCTGGTGAGCTGTGTTCAGCCTCCCAAGGAGGCCCATTCCCAGTGGAGGGGGGAGGAGGTGGGAGTTGACTGTGGAATGCAGGCAGCGGGAGATGGGAGGTGGGGAGTTAAGCTGGTTTTCCTCTGGTGCTTGTTGAAAGGCACATTCTAGTCCCTTCCTTGGACACCTGGCTGGCTTTCATGCCCATTAAAAGGAATGACAAAGGGTTGGCAGAGTGGCTTAAGAGGTAGAGCACCTCATGCTAGCAAGCATGAGGCTCTGAGTTCAAACCCCAGTGCCACCCCCCCAAAAAAAAAGATAGAAAGAAAGACAAAACACTTGGCCCGTGATTTGTGGCCACCTGGAGCCCCTTGGCTCTCCGTGTTGAGAAGAGCCTGAGCACAAGTCACCTCTCCTCTGGCCACAGTAGAGGTCCTAGTGGAAACACAGTCCATGTCTGGGAAACTCAGGTGTGGGATTTAGGTGAAGAAGAAGGTAGGCCATGTAGGAGAGAGTGGCCTGGACGAGCAGGGAGCAGATTTCCTATTTGCTACATTTCTCTGCAGGGTTTCTTGTGCCTCTAAATGAGGGATACTAAGGAGGCATGGAAAAGGCCTGGGGTCTGGTCTCTGCCACATCCCAGGTGTGAGATCACTCCTCCAAGATGAGCTGGGAGAAGGATGTTGGGCTGACTTAGGGAACAGCCAGCCTCAACTCTGCATCTGACCAGTGAAGCCAGTCTCCTGTGTAGGCCCTGGACACAGGGCTTTGGTTCTCAGCCACTAAAAGCTGGTCCTTATAGGCTGGTTCCTCCCCGGACCACTCAAGGCACAACCTCACCAGTTGGGAAGGTTTTTCACTGCTGCCCAAACTGTAAGTATTGGGGAGCATTTGGCTGGTAGACAACTTGAGTTTTGATTCAGGAGCTGGCTAAGGCCACAGAAATGCCACCTTATCAGGAGATGCTGCGTGGTAGAGGCAGAGACGCACAGTCACCTGAGTGAAAGGGGTGGGGAGGAGAAACCAAGAGCCACACCTTAGCTGTGGCCATGAAACGCCTTATCTCCAAGGAAGAAGAAAGGTCGGAGTTGTCCATTAACAGCAGGTTTTTTAAATATAAAGGGCAGACATTTTGGGGGGCTTAAAATGGATGAGTTCATCACTAAGAGGAGGATCCCACGGACAGATAAGTTTTTACTTTAACTTTTGGCTTCGGGAAACCGGTTGTTGCCAGCTCTGACGTCTTTGCAGAATAGAGCATTACTGAGTACAGAATCCCGTCCAATTTACTTTCCCACGACTTCACTATTTTGCAGTAAATTCGCTCCACAAAAATGTGGGCAACCTTCAGCTAAGTTATTTACTCAAGGGGCCCAAATTAAAATGAAAAAAGAAAAAAGATACAGTGGAAAAGAAGGTGGACTTCAGCTTGCAATACCTGAGCTTAAATCCTGGCTTTGCTACTAACTAGCCGCGTGCGGTTGGGCAAGTTTAAGGGCCTCTTCTACCTCTGGTTTCTTTGTTTATGAAACGGTCATAATGGTGCCTGCTTGACAGATGGACTTGTGTCTGTGAAGGGTCCAAGCTGGTACCTGATGCATTGTAGGAAACGAATGCACAGTAGTTAAAACATCCACATTTCCGCAGCATCCATGTAATGAAGTCTTCTTTCGGCTCACCTGCTTCTCCACAGAGCAGTGAGGAAAACAAGACTAAGCCCATTTCACAGGTGTTGAAACTGAGGTGCTATCTCTGGACTTCAGCCTAGGTCCTCCAACCCAAGCCTTTCTCTCTCCACTGCACTCTCTCAACTAGAGGTCGATGATGCATTCCAGTGAAATCCAGGTCAGTAGGTAGTAGGGTCGGCTGTCCCTCAGCATTTAGGAAGAGAGCAGGAAGTGAACAGAGGCATTGCAATGTCTCTGGGGATTGACTGGGGACCTCAAATCATAGAAGAGGATCATGCTGGATGCTTCATGACACCTTGTAGTAACAAGAGCTGGATGTCACCATATTCAGAACATGCTCAATGCAGCCTACCCCACTGGGGCTGCTGGGGAAATCTGCTTCTTCGTCCTGATTGACAAGTGGCTCCCAGGTTGTAGTCCTCACCAGCCCTTCAGCTAACATCAGTGTCAGTTGATGCTGATTAATTGTTGGAAACCAACACCGTATCCAGCCATGCTCTGCACTGAAATAGTTTAAAAGCTTATGCATAGGTTTCTGTCCATGTTTGTTGTAAAACAAAAACAAAAGGAAAAAAACCTTAAAGAGTCACCTCCGTAGAAATTTTAAAACACGTCAAATTTTATTAAAAGTGTCTCCACAGTCTGTGGCATAAATGACTATGCACAAGCAGCTCTGCCTACACCCAACTTTTGCTCCATGGAGTCACATTTAATCAGCCAGTGGCCCGCCCCTGTTCTTGTGGCATAGACTTCCATTTTCATAAGCCATCCCACAAAATGGTCCTTATGAGGGAGAAGTGAGAAGCAGCCAAAGATATTCTGCCCCATCCAGGAGCTCTCTACCGAGACCAAGGCCTGCTGGGCAGGGATGTGGACGGGGCATTTTTTTCTACTCCCAGAACATTGAATAAGTTTACTTCGGATGTGACAGCCATGTTAAAGTTGACAAGTTTAATTCTTAACCACACCATGTAAACTTAGCCATTTGAGTGTTTTTAGAGTGAGTCCCACCAAACACTTTGGGAGTCTTCCTTTTCCACCACCACATCAGAGGGCATTGTTTAAAATATATATATAGGATTTTTTTTAAATGACAAAGGGCACATGCAAATCAATTCATTAAAAAATAAAGCTAGAACCTCAGTAGAAAAATGGGTAAAAGGCATATATAATTTATATGCAAATGTTTTTAAAACCAAAAAAAAATTAATTTCATGAGTGATTAAATATGTCTAAAATAGTACCACATTTAAAAGAGCCAGATGCAGTGGCTCACACCTGTAATCTCAGTTATTTGGGAGATCTGGAGGATCGAGGTTCCAGGCTAGCCCAAGTAAAAATTAGGGAGATTGCACTTCAGCAAACAAACTGGGCATGGCAGTATATGTCTGTAATCCTGAATATGAAGAGGTGTAGGTAGGAGGATTGTAGTCTGAGGCTAGCTTGGACAAAAAGTACAAGACATTTGAAAAATTACTAAAGCAAAAGGGCTGGGGGCGTGGCTCAAGTATTTGCCCAACAATGGTGAGGCTCTGAGTTCAAACTCAATCCCATCAAAATAAATGAAAATGAGGTATTATTTTCTCCTGTAAAAAGTTAGCAAATGATGTCTCACTTTTAAGGACAACACCAAGCACTGCTGAGCACGAGGTGGGCCAGGTAGGACTGACCTTTGGAAGAACAATCTAGCTTTAAAAATGTTGATATCCTTTGAGCCATGTCAGGGAATCTAACCTAAAGAAATAATCAGAAGCTCAAGGAAAAAAAGTTTGAAGAATAAAACCTAATGGTCAACAATTATTATTCTCATAATAGAACATTGTTCATGGCTTAACAGACAGGCTTAGCAAGCTTTTGAGACAAATAGAAGAAATTCTTACACATTTAAGTTTTTAGAAAAGCATCGTGTAAATGTTATGTATATATATAAAGGACAGCCTCAGCTACAGACGTGCTGAGAAAACGGCGGGAAGGAAACTCACCGAATTACTTCCAGAGGCTGTCTCTGATTATAGGATGACATGACAAGCAATTGCTTCTCCTTCTCCCCGTGTTTTGCATTCTCTGTTGCTCCATTACAAAACACAGACTTTGAGGCTGAGTACAAATTCTCCAATGACCCTAAATTTATCTGCTTTTCCCAATTATCCATGTCTGCAAAGTCACCAAATATATTTCAGCCTATCAAAAAAGCACCTCAAAGCCAAGTGAAGTTTGTGCCCAGAGAAGTCAAGGAGAAAAGTACGAGATAGATCAATAGGAAAGAGGAGGAGAGGACACTTGGTAGCAAAAAGCCAACACAGACAGAAACTCCTGGAACATTTCCAGTCGTTCCATCCTCTAGGGATCTGTAGACAGACAGAGGGGCCAGCTGGCCACCCAACACCTTCAGAGCCATGCTGGCTGACCTCAGGGACAGCATGGTGTGGGTTGTGTCCTCGGCAATTCCTTGATCTTTGTCCAAGTTCGCTGAGCATCGCTCAGATTTGTAGATAAAATATTATAACAGCTCCCAGGCTCATGATTGTCCTGCTGCTTGATGTCTAGAAATCTAAGTCATCTTGGCCGAAACCCTGTGCCCTGCTCCTAGCCTAGGTGTGGTCGAAGCTTCAGCTGCCCTCTCATCTCCTAAGTCACAGCTTCCACCCGTCCCCTGCTCTGGAGTCCTTGGGCCTTCTTCTTGCTCAGAGCTGGAAGTTTCTGGGTACATGGCAGTGATTTTTCTCTCTGCTTGTGTGGCCCCATCAGCCCTGGCTCCTCTGCAGTCAAGGTCACCATTTAAATGACCACCTGATCCTTTCTGACAAACCTGCGAGTAGTTGCCCAAGGATGATGTACTGGACAAGCAACGTGATGTGTGAAGTGTTTGGGAGCTAAGCATTTGATGGGGGGTGTCCCCACCTGGGGCAGGGGACAGCATGTGCCTCCCTTCTTGGTCAAGGCTGCTGTTTTCAGAAGCCTCCCCTCTTTGGCCCTCTCCTGGACTAACCTGAAAACCACTTTCCTTCCCACTTTGGTTTCCTTCTTCTGACTCTGGCTGTTCCTCTCCTCCAACTTCTCGTGCCTCTTGGGTGTCAGCTCCATCACCCTGTCCTGCAGCCTGCAGAGTATTCCCACCCCCAGAGCCCTGTCGCAGGGTTCCTTCCTTCTCGGTCTCACCCTCCTCCTCCACCTGCCTCACTTCCTCCAGGGTGCTGGCAACACAGGTGTGGGTTTTCCTTCCTCCCTTGTGAGTAGCTGCATCTTCCTCCCTCTCCTGGTAGTCTGTCCCTCCACCTCACGGAACTCAGGAGCTTTGTCTCCACTGGGCCTCTGGCTCCCATCCTCCTCCTTTCCTTCCTCACCTACCCTAGGCCCTGGGCTAAGCCCCAGTTCCAGCCCTCCATTGACTCGCTGGACGGTCCCTGCCCTCAAGGGGTCCTCCTGAGTGCCTTTCTTTTTGGGGACCATCTCCACTGCCTCTCCATCTGTGCATTCTCCTTTCTTCTGCTGCAGAATTTGCTGAAGGTCAAAGGCCTTTCTGATAGGGGCACGGCCAGTCCCTGTAGTGTCCTTTGGGGACAGGAGGGTCACTTTCTTCCTCACACAGGCCTTGCAGGGACAGAGCTCATCCCCCATGGCCTCCTCATCCAGCCTAGTTTCCAGGGCTGTACCAAGGGTGGGCCAGTCCTCCAGGGTGAGGGAGAGGGACCCCAGGCCATGAGTCTGCTCTGGGAAGGCCGAGAGGTTGTGCAGGGTCCGGAGGCGGTGCCGGCGCTGTTCTGTCTGCAAGGAGGTCTGTCCCTGGAGGCCTCCCCTGGGTGGCCCCAGGACCCTTCTACCTACCCAACTCTGGATCTTCCGGAGCTCTTTCTCAGTGCTTCCTTGGAGCCGCTGGCCCACGTCCTGCTCCAGCTCAGCCACCATCTGATCCAGGAGGCTGTTGTCTTGCAGGCTCCAGCGGGCTCGGAGCTCAGCCATGGCCCTGGCCAGGTGGCCCATGAAGGCCTTTTCCATCTTCTTCAGCAACTTGGACACCCAGGTGGAATCAGGGTCCAGAGGTGTTCTGCAGGCCATGGACGTGTTCTTCTCCTCACTTCCTGGGCTGGACTTGGCCTGGGCTTGCTCATGGCCTATTACAGCTGCTCTGGGCTCTTCCAACCCAGGTTCCAAACTGGGGCCACTTGGACTCTCACTTAGCCTCCTGCTGAGATGCCCAGGGTCCTCTGCAGGCCTCTCTGTCCTTCCCAGGGAGCATGGTCCTGCAGAGGCAGGGGCTTTTCCTGCTTCCTCTTCCGACACTCCCTTGTCTTCACATGAACCCTCCCCATCCTTGGAGCCAGCCTCTGGCACTTCCTGCCCACTGACTTCTGCCCCTTCTGGAGGGTCTTCCTCCTCCACACCTTCTTCTTGTGGCCTCTCTCTCTCTGTTTCTTCTAATTGTTTCTTCTCTTCCTGCATTGTATTTTCAACTAATTGTTCCAGATTACTGCCCGATGGCTGTTTCCTGCTTCCCCTTTCTGCCTCCTCCCTGCTGGTGGCACAAGCCCACGCTTGGGAGCTAGAGGAGGCTGGGGAACAGCTTGGCTGTGGAGGTTCCACATCCTCTGAATGCCCTGAGGTTCTAGAATTGGGCCTTTGGGAAGAAGAGATTTTTAGAGGCAGCTCCATCTTCTCGGGGACTAGGATACTGTCCATGACACAGGGCACACTCCCCTCCTCCCCAGAGCCTCCAGAACCACTGCTGACGTCCACACCAGAGGAGGAGGTGGGGGTGAAACCCTCAGTCACTGGTAGAGCCTGCTGTGGAGTAAGTGCCCTGAGACCCAAGTCCAGCTGGCCTTGCCTAAGGCTACACCCCGGCCACAGGGTCTGGGAGATGTTTAGCAGCTCCTGGTACCAAGGGGAGTGCTGGAGCCTTGCTTTGTCCCCCAGAGACCCAAGATCCTCCTCAGAGAAGTGGAGCCTGGCGAGGCAGGTGATAAGGGCCCCGGCTGAATGGCTGAGCCTCGTGGCCACAGCACTGGACACCTCTGGCAGGCTGCTGGGCCGGCCAGGCTTGCAACCCATCAGGGCCTTCATGAGCTGTGTGGAGGTGGAAACCCTGCCTGGAAGTGCACGCAAGTTCCCACCACAGCCCCCAGTTACCCTTTTACCTGCTCCCACCTCTGCAGGGGCAATGGACACTTCACCAGGCTCTGCATCTTGGTGGGAACCAGTTTCTGATTTGGGCTCTGCATCAGCAGTCCCCAGGAGGGCTCCAGCTATCTCTGGGTGCTCATCTGTGTCCCCTTCCAGAGGCTGACATCTGGTCTGAGCTGGCTCCCCTAGACTTTTTAGAAAATGATTGTAACTAAAGTCCTTGGAGCCTTCCTGGCCATCACTGAGTACATTTGTGGTCTCAGCCACCATTTCATATGTCATGAGTACTGGCTCTTCTGGGATGTTACCCAGCCATTCTCGGACTACTGTGTCTGGTGAGCTATGGGGCAGAGCAGTGGGCATCACGTCACTGTCTTCTTCCTGTTCCTCCAGGCCTCCCCTGGCATCAGGGTACATCCCCAGCAGCACTTTCCCAGGCCTGGCACCATCAACAGCCTTTTGGTGGCCACTGAAGCTGCTACGGCCACTCACAGGGGGCTTCTTGGCACAGGATGGGTCTGCAGGGGGAGTGGGGCAATGGCTGCTGCACACCCAGCAGTCCTCAGACAAGCGTCCCTGTGGGATCTGAGTGTGACCACTAGGGATACTGAGGGCAGGGAATTCTGTCCTGTATGCACGGTAGCAGCCTTGGTGGGCTCCTGGCTCCCCTTCCTCAGAATCCCCCACTGGCTCTACAGAGCGAGTGCTGGGGTGGTAGAACCTAGGACTACTGTCTGAGTGACTCATCTGTGTGATGACTCTGCTGGCCACTGGCAGGTCTCGGGAGTCAAAAGAGCTAGGAGAGGGCAGTCTCAGGTCCTGGGAGTCCTGTTTCCTATTGCTGGGTGAGTTCTGAGAAAATCGTGGTACTGGGCCACCTGGGCAGGCCCTTCCTCTGTCTGGAGGCCTTGGTGTTTGTGGGGCTGCAGTTGAGTCTAGAGGGCAGTGGGTGTCCCTGCAGTAGTGACACTGCCTGGCATGGTCATTTTGGGTCACCTGTGGGAGGTTAGGGAGATTGGGTGGGGACATGGCACTGGCTGGCCTTTGCTGCTTTTTTCTTCCCTGCTGAGATGGGGCACAGAGAGGAGGTGGGGCAGAGCCTCCCTCTGTGTCCCAAGAACCAGAATGTCCCAGACCAAAGAGAAGCCTTGTCAGAGGCCCATCCCTGGCCTGGTGGCACCCAGCACCCTGTCCACACTTCTCTCCCTGAAGGTCTTCGTTGCTCAAAGATGAAGGACTCAGGGCAGGAGCACAGGAACTGTCACACTGGATGGCCTTTCCCTGGGAAGTCACAGCCCTTGCCTGGCTCAGGCAACTCAGGGGCTGGCTACCCAACTTGCAAGACTGCTCATGAGACCTGAGATTGGCCGGTGAGTCAGAAAGGACCTTTTCTATACCCCAGGTCCCAGATCCCAGGTAGCTACAGTGTCCCCAGCCTCCAGGCCCTGCTCCCCCTGGGCATGGGCTTTGGCCAGCTTCCTGTGAAGCCCAGCTCTGGAAAGCAGCCATGGAAGCTGAACATGGGCTGTTGGTGGCCACACCACCCTCTGGGGTCCTAGGGTCACAAGAGTCTGGTTCTGAGCCTTCAGGACTCCCAGTTCTCAAGGCTGGGCTGACACTGTCCTTGCCATGTCTTTTCCTGCCTTTGGGCCCTTGTCTCCAGTGGGCCATGCAGCGAACTGGTCCTGATCTTCTCTGAGGAGCTGGCCCCTCTCCCTGGGTGGTACACAAGGGATTCCTCCAGATCTCATAGCTGGGCCCTGGCCACCAGTCTCTATCAGAAACTCCTTGGTATCCTGCATCTAAAGGACCCAATCCCCCTGTCCCAGGCTCTGAGAAGCCCCAAGAGTGGCCTTCCTTTCTGCAGCAGAGAGGGTTGGCCTCTCCCAGGACTGGAGGCCCTCCACTGGTTGCCGTGAGGATGCCAGCACACCCCACCCTCTGGGACCACAGCAGGGCATCCTCGCCCAGGAGCTGGAAGCGGACTTTCATCTCCACAGACAGGCTGCCATCCTCATTCATGTGGACCTTCTTCTCCATGTTGTCACCAGCCACTAAGGTGCCAGTGGGGGCAGATGTGTCCTGAGGTTGCCCATCAGGGGCTGGCCCCACCCAGGCACAATGCCCAGACTCTGGGTGGTCACTGAGACCAGACCTCTCTGACAGCAAAGAAAACTGCTGTGGTTTGCCACTGGACCTGGACCTTGAATGGATCACGCTCTGCTTGGCCTTCGGCCCCCAGCAACCTGGTACACAGAGAAGAGAAGGCCAGGCAGTGAGTGCCAAGGAGCATCTGGGAAAGACCATAGTCATTCTAGAACGACAATCAGCAGAGCTGCTCAGAGCCCACAGAGCCTATCACTAAGGACTAAGTCTGAATCTAACCTCCACGCTGCCAGCTACCAGCTGAAGAACTTGGGCAGAGCTCTCTCCTGAACTGAGAGAGACCCATTATAGTATTTGGTTTGGTAGGTTTGCTTTGAAAATGTATGACCACAAAGAATGCCTGCTGCATGTGAACATCATTGCATTCAATGCTACATGTAACATCTGCGCATGAAACTTGTATGCAATGTAATACAGAACACTTGCAGCACAGTAACGCTTATTGCATACAATGCTTGCTACGTAGAAAGTGTGTTGCATGTAATGTGTGCTGTATATAAAGCTTAGTGCATGCCATGCTTGTTGCATTAACACTTCTGTATTTAATGCTTGCTACATGTAATGTCATGCTAGCTTCATATAAAGCTTGCTGGTAGCCATCAGCCCAAACAGGTTCTGGAGATGCAGTGGAGCTTCAGGTGACGCAGTGCTGAGTGAGCTCACTCACTGTATGCCCCTCACCCTCTCCATCCCAGGAGGCAAGCTCAATGAGCCCCCGCCTGTGGACCTGATTGTTAACTATGAAATGCGCTCAGATTATTTATGGTGATTGATCATCCCCACACACATCAAGATCTCGGGTTGATAAATGATTGCTGGGAAGGACCTGAATACTGTGTATTCAGGTCCTGATAGTCCAGCCTCCACTCCAGCTTGGTCGCTTTCTGGGGACAGAAAGTGACCCTGGGAGAAAATGGAGCCCTCAGTGTTTCTCATTTCATCTCCTGAGTTATGCTTAGTGGGAGATGCAGGATCTATGGAGGCTGAGCCTGTGGCCTGCAGGACAGAACCTTTGTGTTCAACTTGGCAGAAGTGAGTCTAGGGCCTCCTCTAGGCATGGACATGGCCAATGTCTTTGTGCCTCCAGCCCCTGATGTGCTGCAGTCACTGACTCCATCGCTGGCCATGTTTTCCTAATGGATTCTCACAAAGGATAGTACTTTATTTACTCACCAAAATTCACCCGTTTTCATTCCAATGATTTTGCTTTAATTTTCTTTCTGCCTTTGCTAAATTGTGCCGTTTAAAAATGTATTTGTTAATGACAAAGCTTTGGCTGTGGCTCAGAGCAGGCTTTTTGGATGGATGAATGTTTGGATGGTTGTCTGGACGATCCACGACCACAGCATGTTTCAGTCCCGTGACCTGCTGCAGGCCACCAGACAATCATGACACTCAAGGGCGCAAATGCCACAGGCTCACTGCCTCCACGACTCCATGTCCATCGTGGCTGTTAGTAATTTCAGACCTTAGAAACTTCAAGTCCAAGATTCCCCAATCCTCCTTGCCTGTAAGTCCCACACTCTCTCTATCCCCATCCGATGCTCCACCTGGTGAAGACTAATGGTGAGCATAAGGGGGAGGAAGCACAGAGATCCCAAATGCCTGGAAAACCTAAGAATTGGGGCCAAAGGTATGGTTCCTGCATACCTTTGTTGTCCGGAAAGAATATCTGCTCAGCACCGTGGAACACCACCCACTACAAGTCAGTCTGGGAACCCCAGAACCAGCTTACCACTTTTGTTCCGTGAAGTCAGTCCAGATAAAGTTCTGGTCCTGTTTCTTTCAGCTTCTTCCATCGCCAGAGGTCTGAAAGCCTCATTCCCAGTGCAAACTAGCACAGAGGGGCTGTGTAGCAAAGCCTGCAGACAGTCCACCTGGAGGATGCCAACATAGGGTCAGGAACCTGGCCTGCAGAACCCCTCTACCCAGAAAGGACCATGGGAGCAGGACTCCAATCTCTCTATCCCTTCCTGACTTCTGCACATCTCATCCCAGGTTCCCACTCTCTGTGTCACATTTATCAGTAGCCAAGGACCAAGGACCCTTGTGTGATCTCACTTTCCCTAAAGCTCTCCCTACACCAGCTATGAGTGCAGGTCACTCTGGATGGAGAAAAGGGCAGAGCTTTTAGATTGTTCCTAGTCCAATGACCCCCCGCCTCCAGAGTACATGTTTCCTCAGGCAGCTGCAGCTGAAAGCTCCCCACCCCCATGTGGACCCCTGATTCGCTGCCCCACCATTTTCCCAGGGGAAAGTCTTCACTGGTGTCTGACCTGTGTTTTGCAGTACAATCTGAGTCCTTTGCCTCTGCTTCATCCAAATGGAGCAGCAAGGGCAAAGCACAGCTCTCCCAGGGAGCCCTTCCCTGCCTGACTCCAACTATGGTGTCTGGGTCCCTGCCCACTCCTGGCTCAGAGCAGGGCAGACGACGTCACAGGTAGATTCTGTTCCAGGAAACAGGCCCCTGTTCTTAGAAGGTACCACCTGGGTCCAGAGGCCCAGCATACCTAAGGTCTGAACTATTGCTAGTATTAACTGGCATTTGCAGTGTTGGGGGATTTATTTCCATCTTTAAAGTGCAGAGTATGTTGTTTTTCACTTTCTCAAATTAGAAGGGTACACTCATTGTCAAGGAAATGACATACAACTTTGTTGTACTCCAGCTCTTTCAGCTTAGTTGGTTAGAAGTGTTCTTGACGCCTAGGTACGTTCCTCTTTGGTTTTGATTTCTAGTGCAGCTGAAAATACAAACATGAGTCTAGTCTATAATTTCTTGCTGTAGCCTTGCCTACTTGAATCAGGCTCTCCAGGAAGAAAGACAGATCAAGGTCTAAATGATGCTCCCATCACTAGGAGAGCTAGAATCCAGGATCTATGAAAAAAAAAGAGCATTACTGAGTACCCATTCATCAGAGGACCCAAAGTTAGTTGTCAAGACACAGGCCCCCCCTGGGGAAAAATGAGGTCATCTGCTTACAGAAACTCTGATATCTCTGCCATAGTCTATGTGAAAATATCCTGGTATCTTTTTCTCCTTTTAAGTTTTATGCCCACTCCCTGCTCATTAAACCCACTAAATTGTGAGCTAACTGAGGAAGGGGCCTGTCCTTCTTTGTCTGTATACTCGCTATGGTGCATGCACGTGGAAAATGCTCAATAATTCACTCACATCCTTGCATTGTGACCTCAAGCCATTTTGCTGGCTCTGTCACTTGCCAGCCATGCAACTGTAAGTGCCTCACTTTTCTTATCTATTCAAAAAGGATGATAGTATAGTTCCCTGACAAGAGTGTGTGGTGGGTACCATGCCCTAGACCAGTCCATGTCTAAAACATCCTCTTCCTGGGGCACTCTGCAGAGGTGCCCAGCTCAGAAAGGTGGAATTTCATTTCCTGATCTCCCTAGCAATGAGGATTCTCAGCATGAAATTGGTTCCACTAATGGAATGTACATGCCTAAGGGAAGAAGCATGGTAATAAGCAGAGGTAAGAAGCATGTTTTGTTGGCCAAAGCAAAAAAGTGAAAAGTACAGAGATGAAGTGCAGCTGAGATGATAAAAGCCACACTTGTCCACATCAACAGATAGTGGTGACACCTCGCCTTCCACGTGTGACACCTTCACTTGTGTCACAGCAAGGGTGGGGTGATACTGAACACAATTATTCCAGTGATGGCCACCCAGTAATATACCCCCTTGATTGTGGCACAGGTGTGTCCCTGATGGGTCAACTCAGTGATGTGCTGGGACTCTTTCCCCAGAGCCAAGCCTAGGCTCCTCCAGCTTGCCAATGAATCTTGAAGCATCAAAAGCTTTCTGAGCAGAATTCCTTCTTGTGTAAGGTATCAAAAAGGGAACCACAGTTCCCCTGAACCATGGTTGGAAGTGTACAACATCTGAGACAGTTGTGAGCAACAGGCCTTCGGGGTGGGAATCTGGGATTAATTATCTGAGCTGGTTAGATTTGAAGGTAGTGATAAACTGGTGATGATGGAACACTGGTGACCCATGGCACAGAGTGACAAAATAAGTTCTTAAATGATCCCCTGGAATAGTGGAAGCAGTGCTTACTGAGATGACTTTGGCTTCATAGTGGGCTCTCAGAATGACAATAACAACTCCAAGGACTAAACAGAGGACTGGCCGCTCTGACCTAAAAACATGGCCGGCTCTACATCTAAATCTCCATTCTAGAACAGCCAGGGGACTTGGAGCTTCTCAGCTATTGCCAAAGAATCTCTTTTCTCATGTAGCCAAAACTCAGATGCAGGAGTGGATTCTGCTGGGTGCTGAGATACAGCTGATCTGGGTGTTATGTGATCCACCGAGCATAAAGAGGTGTTGGAGTGGCAACTCAGCCATCAGGCAGAGGTGGTATGCACTGGATCAGGCTTCAGAAGCTGAAACTTCAGCAGGTGGCTTCCGCTTCCAGTACACCTGTGTTTGTTGTGTTGTGACCTCTTCTCTGCACATACCTGTGACCCCCTGGGGCCAGTTGGCTGAGGAAGATCAAATGGCAGAAGGTCCTCTAGCCATTTATGGGAAGTGGTTAATGGCTCAATCTAACAGGAACTTGGAAGGACTGGGACTAGAGGGTTGGTGGCAAGGAATTCTGTAGAAGAATCTACAAAGGGCTCTCCTAGGACTGGCTAGAGAGTGAGAACATTTGTGTCCCAGTTGAGTGTTCACCAAAAGGTGATGGTCATGTAGCTGAGTCTACATGGTACTGGTACTGGTAGCCAGTCAGTGGATGCCAGTCATCATCGCTCTCTAACTACCACAGCGCACACTCAGTCAGCTCATGAATGGAGAGTCAAAGTAGCACAAACTAGCAGTGTCAAGCCTTCTCCATGTGGGTCTGGCTACTGAGTCTTCCCAGGACCTGCTCAGGGAACACTGAGACTAATGCTCAACTCAAGAATTGCATTGTACCTTGTAGGACTCAGCCAACTACCTGGTGGGAAGCTAATAACATTGAACCCCTCTATCAAGGAGCTTGTCAGCAATTTGCATTCACCAGAATAGATACTTATTTTGGATCGAGATTTTACTCCTTGCTCAAAATTCTTCTCTCCATATCACCATCCATGGATTTAAGGAATACCTCTCTCATCATGACATGATCCATGAAGATTGCTTTCATCCAAAGCACTGATTTTATAGCAAAAGGTGTGAGGCACTAGCCATTGCCCATGGAACTCATTATGCAGACACATTGCCCATCACCCCAAACAGTCATAACTCATAGAACAGTGGAATATTCTCTGGAAGACTCTATTTGGGAGCTAGTTCAGAGGCATCACTTTATGATGGTGAGCTATCTGATGGTCAACTGATATGCAGTGCTGCTTCTTCATGGACTACAGACATGAGAGTGGTTTGGGTCACCATTATACCTACAGCCTGCACGTATTTTGCTTCCCATCCCAACAGCTTTGGGTTCTGCTGGTTTGGAGACATAAGAATCCAAGGGATAATATTCTTCCAGGAGCTACCCAAGGACTCCATGGAGCTGGAAGGTGCGATAGTCTACTGGCTATATGGAACACCTCCCAGCAATGAGGTAACAGGCAGCGAGAGGGTTTCTGTGTTGGAAGGGGAGATTGGATCTGATTGTCAAGGGGAAATAGGGTTATGGTTACACACTGGGGACAGGGAACATGTTGGGGATCTCAGATGCCAAATGTGGTAAAAGTTAACACAAGATCACAACAGCCCAGTATAGGGAAGACCTCTAAGGGCTCATATTCTCAGAATTATGGCTCAGTCACTTTGCCAGGTATGTGACCATAATCAGCAGAGGTGCTGGTGGAAGAAAGGCAGAAGGAACACAGGATGGAAGGCGGAAGGAAATTTGAAACAATAGCCTTGTGGAGGATGTCTCATTTTCTTCACAGCTCTGCTAGGTGTATTCTATATTAACTGATTTTCTATGTTTTGCTCTTGATTTCTTTTACTACTTTATATAAGATATTTTGTGTGGACTTTGATAGATCTAACAAGAAGGCTATCAAGGTGGGATTGTGACTAGTTCAGTCACAATGAGTGAACAGGCAGATGGCACAATGAGTGAATACTTGTTTTGCAGGAGGGAGAGCTTTGGTCTTAGGGTGGTGTATCTCAGTGCTAAGTAGCTGCAGGATTAGTTTGTGTGGAGACAGAATTAGGTCACTCACCCTCCATCCTCCATGCTGTCCACCCTTGGTGGAGACTTGTGTTCTGCAGAAACCAGAAAGGCACAAGGTACATTCACTAGCCTTCTTTGCTTGTAAGGCTGGGTGTGGACTGGGCTTCTCCATCCATTGGGTGCAAGTTTGGGAAGGTGGCAGTTCTGCAGACACCATCTCTTCCTGCCTCTGACTGATGTCACATGTGGGTATCTGGAGGCAATGGCAGGCTGAGGTGGCAGTGGCAAATTTGACCCTCCAACAATCATGGGAGTCAAGACATGGCTGTGGCAGTTTGTTGACCGTGGCTTCCTACACTTGGCTGCAGCCACCATTGAAGTGTTTTCGAACTTAATACTTGTAGTGGTTGCCAACAAAGGCAGTAGCTTCCTGCAGGAGGTGGGAGCCACTCTTGCAGACTCTGCATTCTAACGATGTGGAAACCCCTAAGGCCTTTTCTGCTTAAGGTACTTGAGTAGTGTCTGCTTCCTGCATTGAACTCTCATGAAATAGGCTATTGAGAAGATGGGATAAGAAAACAAGAGTGTCCAAAGCACGGTGCCCTGCAAGTACTAAGTGCTCACTAAATGGGACCTAAAAGTAGGAGTAGCAATTGCCTGTTTGATTAGTTGACTTAACCAAATGTCCCCGCCCTCTTCATCTCTAATTACTAGCAGAGCAATCAAGTATACCTCTCCCTTCTATCTAAGTCTTTTGACCAAGGAGCCAAAAGCCTTGTTTAAGGAAATATCAGACCTGGTTAACCTACCTTTTTCCCACTGACGGTGTACACCTGCTTCACAGGAAAGTGCAGAAGGTCAGAGGCCCTGCTGAGGAAGGCTGTCAGGTTCCTAGTGTTCTTGTGACTGAGAACCATTGTCTGCTGGGTTCTGGGGTCTCCATTCTTCACCAGCGTTATCCTCCTTGGGGTTGTAGTATCCTTCAAGGAAGAAGGTGTTCCTGGTGCCTCACGCCCACCTTCAAAACCCCTTGTCTGCAGAGTGAAGGGTCTTCTTCCTGGTGGCCAGCCTGGCCCACTGGGCACCTTAGGGATCTTCTTATCGGAGCAGAGGTAGCAACCCCCATCTTGCAGCTGGTCCAGGGCGCTGAGGCCATGCAGGCCCCGAGGGGTGGTGACTGAGCGCACCCCAAAGGAGAGAGGCATACGCTGTGACAGTCATCCATCAGGGCGCTGAAGGTCTTGAAGGTGCGTTGGTGAACGGCCAGGCGAACCCCAGCAAACTGGGGATCCCCTTGCTTGAAAAAAGTATCTTCTTGGCTGGCGTGACCTTGGCAACAGAGGGAGTGCCAGCCACAGGAGGTGGGAGGCACTGCCGGTGGCTTGGGGCCTGGCCATCCCTCAGGCTGTTGTTCATGACACAGAGACACGGGCAGCTGTAACGGGCAAAGGAAGAGGAGGGTGTATTTCCTATCTCTCCCCTTCTTTATAGAGATGCTCCCTGTCACCCCAAACTAGCTCCACCCAACTATGCAGAGACAGCTTAATCCATCTGGGTGAAAGGCTTAACATTGGACAGAACTGAGTTCAAACTCCAGCCCCACCACTTACCACCCATGTGGCCCAGAAGGGTAATGGAGGAATCTGGGCTGAGTGGCCCCCATCTGTAGACTGCAGCTCAGTCACTCAGCATAAGATTATAATAATTACATGAATTTATGCATAGAAGGTATAAAGCAAGTGTCTAAAGTGTTTACACCTTTCCAAGGTGAATGTCTGACCCTCTTCTGCCAACTCTGAATGCTCCTGAGGAGGTGGGTAGACAGAGAGAAGACCCTAACACGTAACTCCTTGACCCATGGAGTCAGGAGACCTGGGCAATGTGTTCCCCTCTCCTGAGGCCTCCCTGCATGGCCTAGTGAATTTCCCTTAAGTGAGCAGAAGCACTGTTCCCAAACCCCTCAGGGACAGGGGAGTGGACAAGGAGACTTGGGGCTCTGTAACCCCACTAGGGTACACCACTCCATGTCCTGTGTCTCCTTCATTAGTGTTCTTTTGATGTAAAAAGAATGCTTCCTCTCACATACCCCAAAATCTTTCAAGATGCATGATGAACTCTAAAGATGAATAGCTCAGCCCACTGCCACCAACATGGAGCCTGGGAGGTCAGATCAGCCCCAGTAGGGTCAAGGCCATTGGCCCCTCCCCCCCATCCATTCCTACCCCTACTGCCCCAGTGGTGTGCCCCCATTGCTCCAGACAAGACTCATGTAAAAGGCTTCTACGTGCTCTTCCTGTCCCAGGTCAACAGGCTGCATTCTGTGGACCTGCCTGCCAGGTTTTCCTGAAACCCAGCTTTCAACTGAACACTGTGACTCCAAACCATCAGTGGTTTCTTGGTGTCTGCAGAAAAAGCCCCAGCCGTTTATCCCACAATTCAAGAGCTTCTGCCACTTGTCCCCATTTCCTCACCTCTTCTTTCCCACACTACACTTTGCACCCTGCCGTGGCTGTCCTCTTTGTGGAGCCCTCCCAGGTCCCCCATTCCTAGAGCAACCCCCAGTGCAACGTCTCTGGCAGTTCCTCTCCTCTCAACAGGCTGCATCATTTCTGGCCCATTCCACCAAGGCTTGGGAAGCAGACCCTGTCCTCTCCAGGGTGCCCAGTCCTGCTAGTGGCACAGAATGGGGCCCAGGAAACACATACCAATGAATAATGCCAAGAGTTCACAGGGCCTCCTGCTGGAGCCAGGTCCATCCAGCTGGCACCTGAGCAGGGAGGTCACGTGAGCAGGCTTCCCAGCTCACAGGCACTCAAAGCTGTAATGGGACCCTCATTAATGTGCACACTGGGGCCACACAGTCATCCCTCTGCAGCCCTTGATGCCTGCTCCTTGTCATCAGAAACACATCTCCTCCCTCACCTCCCCTCTCCCTCTAAACCCCCTTTTTCTACAGGAAAAGAACTCACCTATCATTTTCAAAGTCTTGCTGCAAAAAAAGGCCATATAATCCTCTCCCATCTCGGACACAGCTATATAATCAGCTTCTTCAGGATCCTCCCTCCCCACTAATCCTTGCAAGCTGCTCTCATTAGTCCTCCACTGATGTCCCTGCAGCTGCACAAGTTGTCCCTCCCCAGGGCCTGCCCTGGGGACAGCTTTTCTCCCCACTGATTTTCACTTGTGACCATGAATGTCTTCCCGGGTCTTGCTGAGGGATCCAGAGGGGGAGAAAGAATCACACTGTCCCTAGCACCACTGTGTCCCCGGCGTCACTGTGTCCCCAGCGTCACCATGTCCCATCATCCCCAGCTTCCAGGGCTTCGGCTCCTGCAGGTTGACCTGTGCGCAGAGACTCTTCATAGAGACCTATGGGCCGGCAGATCCGCAGGGTGCCCAAGGGAACCCTGGAACTAATGCCAAGACCCTCTGAGTTGTGCAGAGAGCCAGGTAAGAGTAAGCATGGCCACTCAAGTGCCTGACTGCCCCTTTCGTCCAGCGTTCTAGAGTATAACTGCTTTCTGCACAGGAATTCCTAATCTCTGCCTGCTGAAGTTGTTTTGTGTGTGTGTAGTGGGGGGTGGGACTGGGGTTTTGAATTCAGTGCTTCATGTTTGCTTGAGCCCCTCCTCCAGTCCATTTTGCTCTGGTTATTTTGGAGATGGGGTATTGAACTCTTTATCCTGGCTGGCCTCAAACTGTGATCCTCTCAATCTCAGCCTCCTAAGTAGCAGCAGCTAGGGTTACAGGTGTGAGCGGCCAGTGCCCAGCTCCGATTGGAGTTTGGAAATAAAGAGATCATGTAACATGCAGGATTCTGGTGTTTAAGATTGGGCTGACAGCAGGGACCCGTGACAGTGGCCAAGCATGTGGCCTGCGGGATCAGGAACTCCTGATCATCCTCCTGACAACGTTCTGCAGACAACTTTAGTGCCACACACACTCATCAGAAAGAATTTCAGGCCCAGGACAGGAGCTGGAGGAGCGAGGCCACTTGGCCTGGGAGACACAGACACCACATTGCACATCCCAAGAAGAGAGAGTGGTGGCCCCCAGCCTCATCCACCCAGACGGAGAAGGACAGTATCATCTCTGTGGAGTAGCCAACAAGTATGACTTTCTCCTGTAGCCATGGGGACGGAAGACCAAACAGGGAAGCTTTTCTTAGTCTTCTTAGACTCGGCTTGACAAATCCGAGGTCCTTTGCCTTCAACATCACCTGGCCCCACCCAGTTATTTATTCACTCACTGGAGTATCCGACAAGGGTTTTTGAGCATCTGCTGTGTTTCAGACTCTGCACTGAGTGGCAGGGATACCAGATTAGCAAGACAGATCTCCCCTGCAAAAGCTTCACATTCTAGTGTCACAAGGAGACGCTAATGCACAGAATGCAATAAATGCTCTGATTATACAGACTTACATATACTATGTCCCCAAGGTGTGACCAATAGCACAGACAAAGTCAAGGCAGGAAAGACTTCTTGGAGGAGGTGACATGTCCTTTTAGCTGAGGCTAAAAGGACAGCTCAGGGATTGACCAGAGGAGGCGATTAGGACAGGTGTGATAAGTAGACATGGTCTTGGTGCCACCTGTCCTGGGCTGTGGTAGCTGAGTGACAGGAGGGGAGGGAAAGGCTCAAGACTCCTCCTGTGCCAGGATCTGAAACATTCAGATGGCGCACACTGCCCTGGGACCAAGCTCTTGCCACTCCTGCCCTGGAGTTCACCCCCTACAAGTGGACTTCACCTCTCAGCTTTGATATGAGTTGGGTGCCTTTTGCATGGAGTGGACAAAGCTTGAGTCTGGGGGGGAGGAGCAGAGGCAGCCTGCCCTTCATGGGTCAGACGCTAGATCTGAGTTAGGAAGGAGCTTGGACTGGGCATGGGGGTGAGATCCCTGCCAGATCTCCTCAGTGTGCCCACGGACCACAGGGAACAACCTCCCATTCCTAAGATGGGGGACAAAGGATTAGATGTCCTTTGTGGCCATGCAGGGAAGATGCTGGGCTGGCCTGGAGAGGGGACGCCCTATACCTGTGGGCTCTTCTTCCTTCCCTGAATCATGAACCAGGTGCCCTGTGATCATGGACCGCCTTGCAGCACAGGGAAGAGAGCTCTCCCTCCCCTCATGCTTATGGGGACATGAGCCCTGCAAAGGAGGTGAGACCTGGCCCTCTAGGAACGAGGGAAGAAGGGGTGCTGAGTAGGAGGATGGCAGGGTTGGCTCCCAGTTCCGCTCTCCTCCCAGCCACAATTGCATGTACTGATGTGGAGACATTTACATCAGGGGAGGGACTCAACAAGGGTGGGCCTCTTGCACAGCCAAGCCCATGACTGAGCTGTAAGGGAGACTCCCACCCAGCTCCCATGGACAGGGCCCTTCAGGGAAGACTGAGACTAGACAGATTCCAGGAGGCTCCACCATGCCTTTCTGAGCCACCCAGGAGCACAGGACCACACGGGACCCAGGGTCCAGCTGGAAAGCTGGGGCAGGTGGCCTTGGGAGTACAGAGGGACCCTCCACACTGGTGTTGGAGAGTCCCAAGGAACCCCAGGGCCTGCAACGCCCACCAGGGCAAGAGGAGGCCAGTGTCCTTGGGAAGAGGCAGAGCCAGGAGCAATGGAAAGGGCGGGAAGGGCGAGGGGATTTCAGGAGGAAGCGGGAAGGAAAGTAGAGGCTTCCAACTGTGGGCGGCTGGGGGCGGAGGAAGCAGAGAAAAACAGATTAAGGGGTGAAGGGAGAAAAAATAGAAGTCACAGGAAATACTCCAAAAGGTGACAGCCCCATGGAGGAACTGGGCAGGGCTAGCTGGGGGAGGAAATGGGTTAGCTGGGGGGTGATTCTGGAAGTGGGGTAGGCCAGGCAAGAGCTGGAGGTGGAGCAGACAGCAAACCAGGCAGATTCAGGAAGTTAGTACATGCTGAGAGAAGTTTGCAGGCAGGTGGGAGGCTGCAGTTAACCAGGAGGGAGGGAGATGGTGCTGAGGGCTGATGGGTACCACACATGAACAGCTGGAAGAAGCCACAGGTGACAGGAAGAGTACATGTGGCCTCCGGAAAGAGCCAGAGCCCCTGTCACTCAGTAGAGAGCTAAGTCCTTCCTAGGGTCCCCACTGCTACTCAGATCTACACAGACACAGGGCAGCAGACAGTCATTTTTACATCATCTCCCAGTGGCTCAAATTTGCCATGGTTCTAAGAAGCATCAGGATTTAATGAACCAATAAGAGAGAAAGGAAAAATGGCTACTAATTGCAGAGATATTAAAATGGGGTGGCAGCAGGGGTGGGGGAAGACCGTGTGTGTTAAAGTCAGTGAAATACAAGCTGACATGAGCCAAGCATCAGTCGTACACGTATCCATGATGGAATGCAGAATGGTGTAGCCACTAAAGATAACAGAGGGCAGGTTCTAA